TGATTCTCAGCATACGGAACTAAGTCAACTTATATAGATAAAACTTCATATTTAAGTTAAATTATGTTCAAATATTATGATATGAAATGTTTTATTGGTCGACTTCTACAATACCTGTAGCGTTGAGTCTGTGCCCCTGACTTTATATTGTACAAGTTTTAATCCAGCTTATGGCTTGTGCCGCAATTTTTGATATTTTCGAGTACCTATAAAAAATGTGGCTGTAATGGTCTTGCACTCAGGGCAAATTGTGGGTCATGCTGTCTAAATAGTGACACTCTTTGCACATAACACGAATACCGGATGCCCTTTGGTCAGGCCAAAATGGGTCAGGATGACCCACCCAAGGGACCGGGTCAGCATGACTCACATAAGGGACTGGGTCAAGATGACCCACCTAAGGGACTGGGTCAAGATGACCCACCTAAGGGACTGGGTCAAGATGACCCACCTAAGGGACTGGGTTAAGATGACCCACCCAAGGGACCGGGTCAGGATGACCCACCCAAGGGACCGGGTCAGGATAACTCACACAAGGGACTGGGTCAGGATGACCCACCCAAGGGACCGGGTCAGGATGACCCACCCAAGGGACCGGGTCAGGATGACCCACCCAAGGGACCGGGTCAGGATGACCCACACAAGGGACTGGGTCAAGATGACCCACCTAACGGACTGGGTCAAGATGACCCACCTAAGGCACAGGGCCAAGATGACCCACCCAAGGGACAGGGTCAGGATGACCCACCCAAGGGACTGGGCCAAGATGACCCACCCAAGGGACAGGGTCAGCTTGACTCACACGAGGGACTGGGTCAGGATGACCCACTTTTGTACCAATTCTGACTTGTTTCTCTGAGTGTGACGTTGAATTAACGTGCATTCGTCGCAAGTGCCTCGCATAACCAGATGCTCGGTTCCTATGCGACTTGTCCGTATTTTGCAGCCGTGTACGAGGTCCCGTATTAAAAGGCCGTCTAACAATCGAAGGTGACAGCGCATGCCACGGCCTGAGAAGTCATGCAATTTAATTAGTTGTGCTCTTATCGGCGCCTGGAATTCTTTATGATGAGAAGATCGATGCAATATTGCAGATATATGATTTCTCCCTGGCGTAATTTGTCCATGGCGTAATTTGTCCATGGCGTAATTTGTCCATGGCGTAATTTGTCCATGGCGTAATTTGTCCATGGCGTAATTTGTCCATGACTTAATTTGCCCTATGGCGTAATTTGTCTATGGCGTAATTTGTCCATGACTTAATTTGTCCATGGCGTAATTTTTCCATGACGTAGTTTGTCCATAACTTAATTTGCCGATGACGTAATTGGTCTATGATGGAATTAATTTTGTTACGTCATTAATAAATATTTGATACACTCTAAATTCTTAGTCTTTGAAAAATGTGCAATTTTTTCAGTCTTATGAGAACAATCAATTTTTAAATGAAGGGCGCTCCGCAAAAAAAGTTGAGCGTCTGACTAACTGAAACACAATATTTTCCATGTGGAGAAAGCACTTCACTCGGTTATATGAGTAATAGTTGTCCATGTCTCTCACGAAATCTCCTGTTCAATAAAAATTTCTCGCATTAGAATGATGCTTATTTATCTATATCAGTATCTACAGTTGATTATAAAATACGCTAAGTTGTTGCATGTTATTAGTTGCTTTCAAGATAGGATGCGCTGTTAACTCTTTCATGGTACTAATGGACTTATATTTTGTTGTGATTTGTTTGAAGGGACATTGGAGAACATGCGAATTTTTTAACAATCTCGGTTCGAGTGCGATGTTAGTATATCGCGATCCTATATAGGTACTAGAGCAATCTTACTACTAGGGTACTAGAGCGATCCTAGATTCGAGCGCCATCCTAGGTTCGAGCGTGATACTTGGTTGCCTATTCAATGGTCTGTCCCTCGGTACACAATCTGTGCACATTCAAGCCTTTGTAAATACAAGACCCTGTAAATAATTGGTTCTGCTCCACGCTTCACGCGCGCACGCCATATGCTCAAGACGTCTACACCGTACCGCCTCCTGACCTTACTGGAGTTTCCGGTTCAGGCGAAATTTCTCGTGTGAATTTGGCCTAGTGGTCGTACCTCAAGTAAAGTCTTAAAATAGTCTGTATATACGAATAAATGCTTTAATTTTGTAGAGATCGCTACCATCTATTTTAGTGATCTCTGTTAAACTGAGAACCTTGAACTGATATTTCTCAACTGTATTTACGGCTGTCGGCGTGTGTATAGAATTTTTTATATATTGGTAAATAATTTAATTTGAATCAATTTTTGCCATTCGCTCGGAAACTGTTGCTATATTTGTCGTTCTCGATTATGGTGTTTTACATACTGAGAACTCGTGTAATCGTAATCGATCTCACTTAAATTTTACTGTATGAGCGATATGTTGCTGCTCTATGTAAGACTCGAAGAAAGGCAGGTATCAGTAATTATTTTAAAAGACAATAATAAAACAACTGATGCAGTAGAAGCCACATCAGTCAACGAATAGTTACTACTGAAATTATCACTTTGCTGTATTCTCTCCTCAGCCGCGTAAATGGGCAAGACCCTGAAGGCATGTAACGTTGAAATGGCGTTGATTAACCTTTTTCTCTACGAAATTAACTCGTACCGTAATCAATTTTTTTCAACGTCATTTGCCTTGAGGGGTGGCATGTTGAGCTAAAGGTTATACACATTGCCTAATTTTCGCCGTATTCGCTGCGCACTCGGCAGCGCTGGTCACGCTTTCTGCCACCGCGACGTCGTATTCTTTTTTGTTATTAAATGATGTGCTTCAGTTAGTGTTAAACGAATATGTTTAGCTGTGGGTTTATTATTGGCTTAAGTTAGTCAATATTGCATACGCGTGTCTTTAGGTCTATTTGTTGAGCTGCAGTTAGTGTATATTGCAGACGCGTGTCTTTAGATCTATTTGTTGAGCTGCAGTTAGTGTATATTGCATACGCGTGTCTTGGGATTTATTACCGTCTTTGCTAAACTGTATTTCATATGCGTTAATCGTTTACTTATGTTGCAGTCAGTTATAGTGTATATTAGATACGCTTGTTTTCCGGTCTTATTTAATTCAGGCTGCAGTCATGGTACATTGCATAAGCTAAATACAAAATAATGTTGCAAACATCCTGTAGCCTTTCTTACTCACTGGCTCCATAACCACATGCCAGCATTGGAATATTATGAGGAATCTCAGTGCAAGACAGAGCAAAATACGGGCTAACGAATTGCCATAACAATTCTCATGTAGGTCTTAAATATCAAATTTTCCTAAACTACTTCAATTTGGCTTAACTGAAAATGACTCAGAATACACTCAGAGAAATGAATGGGATTTGTCTATATAACACTGCACTTTTTAGCGCATTTTCTCATTTATGGAAAAAATGCATTATTGTGCTCGCCATGTCCATCTGTCCGTCTGTCAGTCTGTCTGTCTGCCCGTCCGTGACTTCACGTCGTCGTCGACGAGAAAATGCGCTCTCTGTCACTCACTGCAGTTAGTATCGAGTTATATTTTTTCTCATGTGTGGGTCGTCCTGTTGTATCAGTGCTGCGAGCAGAAAGTGTGTCACCATTTGGACTACATGACCTGTTCATTTTTCTGAGTGTATCTGCTCGGATTGTTTGTGAGGATTTTCCGCACATGCACTGCAGGAAGCGCTGCGAGATAAGATTTGGGGAGCCGCGACGATATGTCAATGTTCAACTAACATCTTTAACGCGACATTTTCCCACGACATTCTGACAGAAATATTCATGGTCTTTCGACCATAGACAAATATGCGTGGTCTTCCGACCTTAGACATATTCATGGTCTTTCGACCATAGACAAATATTCATGGTCATTCGAACATAGATAAATATTCGTAGTCTTTTGTTTAGTCTATGGTATCATGTCTTACGACGAGATCCTGGCTTAGCAAGCAATACATAAAGTATCCTAATTGAAAGCTTATCGGCGTCTAAGAATTCACTTGAATTTACCAATAGATTACTATAATTACCTACCTCTCTGTATTGTCATCAGGAATCGATTGAAATTTGATTGCTTAGTTTTGTCTGTAGCTTATTTCAAATAAGTTTTTGAGAACTTTTTTCCGATGGGGAACATTCCGTGTAAGACAATCAAGACCGTAGTTATGAAAATGAATGAGCCACCAGTGTGAGTATATATTGTGTTAATATATCATTATTGTGTTAATATATCATTATTGTGATGATACATCATTATTGTGATGATACGTCATTATTGTGATGATATATCATTATTGTGATGATACATCATTATTGTGATGATACATCATTATTGTGTTGATACATCATTATTGTGATGATACATCATTATTGTGATGATACATCATTATTGTGTTGATACATCATTATTGTGATGATACATCATTATTGTGTTGATACATCATTATTGTGTTGATACATCATTATTGTGACGATACATCATTATTGTGTTGATACATCATTATTGTGATGATACATCATTATTGTATTGATACATCATTATTGTGTTGATACATCATTATTACCTTCATGCTGACTGTTGTGGTGGAGTACTAGCCGTTCATCATTAACCCTGACCTGTAATACATAATCACATATTCACGAATCATTATTTATAATCTTGTAAATATTTATTTTAGGATATGACATTGAATGTTATGGTTGACCTCATCTAACCTCATATCTCGCACTAAATAGAAAAATAAACGGAATTTATCACAATAGAGTTGGAAATTTGTGCAAAAAAATTCAATTGTTTGTACCTGTTTTTAGCGCATTTTCTCATTTATGGGAAAAAGGCGCTATTGTGCTCGTCATGTCCGTCCGTCAGTCTGTCCGTTTGTCTCTCCGTCCGTCTGTCCTTCCGTGACTTCTAGTTTTCGTCGACGACAAGATGCGCTCTCTGTCCCTCACTGCAGGGAGTACTGAGTTATATTTTTCATGGCATTGCAGCGCAGACATCGCCCTCATCGGGCTGGCGGTGATGGGGCAGAACCTCATCCTCAACATGAACGACCACGGCTGGGTGGTGTGTGCCTACAACCGCACCGTAGACAAGGTTTGTGACATTTTTTTCTGGTGCTTTTGCTGGTTTCGTATTGTACTGTTGTAATGTTGCAGGTGCTTTTGTTGGTGTCATTGTACTGTTGTAATGTTGCTGGTGCTTTTGTTGGTGTCATTGTACTGTTGTAATGTTGCTGGTGCTTTTGTTGGTGTCATTGTACTGTTGCCCTGTTGCTGGTGCTTTTGTTGGTGTCATTGTACTGTTGCCCTGTTACTGGTGCTTTTGCTGGTGTCATTGTACTGTTGCCCTGTTGCTGGTGCTTTTGTTGGTGTCATTGTACTGTTGCAGGTGCATTTGTTGGTGTCATTGCACTATTGCACGTGTTTTGTTAATGTCATAAGTCTTATTGCTATATTGCACGCGGTCTTATTGTAACAGATGCCATTTTCGATGTTTTGGCTGACGACAATTGTGGGATGCCTAAGATTCATTAATATTCCCCGAATAGCCCATTGCCGGAAGTAATATGTAATCATTCAAAATACGATATTCTCTCCTTTAACTTCATATTTTCATGACATTAAGCAAAATATGATGGGATGAGTGAATTCTTGTTTGCTCTGTTTGGACGGAATTTTTATTGACAGAAATATTCCATATCTATTATTTCATCTTTGTACTAACGAGACTTAGTTGTTTTGCAGTCCTCTTATTGATAGAAATTTCCCGTATATATTATTCTTTTGTGTTTATATTAACATAACTTGTTTTAAAGTTCCTTTATGGACATAAAGGAACATATACCCTATACCCTTTTCCACATATATACCTTTATAATTTTTTCGTGTTGATGTTAGCATGACTCTTGTTTTACATTTGTTTTATTGCTATAAATTGCACACGTATAATCATTTTGTGTTAATGTTAACGTGTTGTGCAGGTGGACAATTTCCTGGCCAATGAAGCCAAGGGCACGCAGGTGGTAGGCGCTCGGTCCCTGCAAGAGATGGTGGCTAAACTTAAGAAACCAAGACGGGTCATGATGCTGGTCAAAGGTGGGTCATGATGCTGGTCAAAGGTGGGTCATGATGCTGGTCAAAGGTGGGTCATGATGCTGGTCAAAGGTGGGTCATGATGCTGGTCAAAGGTGAGTGACATACCAGTATTATTATTCTCGGTTGAATGCGTAATACACTATCTTCTATGTATCACCTCATGGGAGCGAATATATATACTAGTATCATATAAATACTTGTATCATGTATACAATGTTGTACTATAACATATAACGAATATAAATGCTAAGAAATGGCCGGGAAAATCAACGATATATTACAATATAGTACTTGGCGTTCGCTTTGCTTTATAAATTCTAATTTAATACGTATTGTGCATAGATTGCGTTTGGCTCAAAGCATACAATAAACTAACAGGGATATTAAAGACTCCAGTTTCCGATTAATCTGCTTAAAGAAAGAGTTGGGGCAGACTTTTAAAACTTGTCATGAGTTTAATATTTTATTTATTTATTAAAATATTAAAATAATAAAATAAAATAAAATAAATATTAAAATTTATTTATTTTTAATAATATTGCTCACTAATGGTAATATGTTGCTGCAGCTGGTGCTGCTGTTGATGCCTTCATCGACCAGCTGGTGCCGCTGCTCGAGGCTGGCGACATCATCATTGATGGCGGCAACTCAGAGTACCACGACACGCAGCGCAGGTACCACTCAGTACCACGACACGCAGCGCAGGTACCACTCATTACCACGACACGCAGCGCAGGTACCACTCATTACCACTCAGTACACTCAGTACACTCATTACTCACCACAATTACGAGTACCAACGCAACAATCATTAAATACCGTATACGCGCAGTTTTCACTATCATTCACTGCCATAGCACATGTAAAGTGCATAGCCTTGTTATGCCTTCGCCGTGTACGTACGTGACAAATTTAACTAATTTCAATCTTTTAACTTAGTGAACCTTGTGACCTCGTGAAAGACAACAAACACAGATTACCTCAAGATCACTAGGAATGAGGCATAAATACGATAGCTAATAATTTGCGGTAATGTCATGATTATTCAGTATTTGACCTAATTTAGTAATGGAATAAATGTGCTGACAGTAAACTATTCAGTAGGTATTTAATTAGACTTTAAGATGGACTGCAGAGATAAATATGATGTCTGATGTTTTGTTACGTAAATTTATTGATTATTTACAAATGATATGTAATAATTACGCAGGTGCGAGGCGCTGGAGAAGAAAGGGCTTTATTTCATCGGGTCGGGGGTGTCGGGGGGCGAAGAGGGGGCGCGCCACGGCCCCTCACTTATGCCAGGAGGCCACATCCAGGCTTGGCCTCACATCAAAGATATCTTCCAGGTAATATCCTGCACAATATACTATCATTATTAGCAGGTATTTTTCATCATCATCATCTTTATCATTATCATCATATAAGAGCTTTTGATACCGACATTTTCATGGTTTTTAACCTGCAAGAGCATGAGTGTTCACATCGCAGATAATAAAGATCATTTTCATGGAACAAAAAGTAATAAACTCAAAATTCTTCAGAAAAAGTGATGCGATTCAGATGGAAATAGAGTCAAGGTTGTACGGATAAGTATTTACATTTGTGTATCTCTACATTGGTCTGAAAACACATGTGTTCTAGAGGCTAAAAACCGGTTCACGAATGCGATTTGCTGCTTGTTCAATCTGGTCAAACTTGAGGTGATGCCAAATATCCGAGCCAGCCTACCGTTGTTGTTGAATCATATTGTTTGTTGAATCTTGTTCTTGTTTGTTGAATCATATTGTTTTTTTAAATCTTGTTCTTGTTCGTTGAATCATATTGTTTGTTGAATCTTGTTCTTGTTTGTCGAATCATGTTCTTGTTTGTCGAATCATGTTANGTGCAGGTGTCTCATGCTACACTCTTGTGTGCAGGTGTCTCATGCTACACTCTTGTGTGCAGGTGTCTCATGCTACACTCTTGTGTGCAGGTGTCTCATGCTACACTCTTGTGTGCAGGTGTCTCATGCTACACTCTTGTGTGCAGGTGTCTCATGCTACACTCTTGTGTGCAGGTGTCTCATGCTACACTCTTGTGTGCAGGTGTCTCATGCTACACTCTTGTGTGCAGGTGTCTCATGCTACACTCTTGTGTGCAGGTGTCTCATGCTACACTCTTGTGTGCAGGTGTCTCATGCTACACTCTTGTGTGCAGGTGTCTCATGCTACACTCTTGTGTGCAGGTGTCTCATGCTACACTCTTGTGTGCAGGTGTCTCATGCTACACTCTTGTGTGCAGGTGTCTCATGCTACACTCTTGTGTGCAGGTGTCTCATGCTACACTCTTGTGTGCAGGTGTCTCATGCTACACTCTTGTGTGCAGGTGTCTCATGCTACACTCTTGTGTGCAGGTGTCTCATGCTACACTCTTGTGTGCAGGTGTCTCATGCTACACTCTTGTGTGCAGGTGTCTCATGCTACACTCTTGTGTGCAGGTGTCTCATGCTACACTCTTGTGTGCAGGTGTCTCATGCTACACTCTTGTGTGCAGGTGTCTCATGCTACACTCTTGTGTGCAGGTGTCTCATGCTACACTCTTGTGTGCAGGTGTCTCATGCTACACTCTTGTGTGCAGGTGTCTCATGCTACACTCTTGTGTGCAGGTGTCTCATGCTACACTCTTGTGTGCAGGTGTCTCATGCTACACTCTTGTGAGCTAATGTCTCATGCTACACTCTTGTGTGCAAGTGTCTCATGCTACACTCTTGTGTGCAGGTGTTTCATCAATGGAATGAAGGAGAGCTTGATTCTTTCCTGATCGAGATCACCGCTAACATCCTCAAGTTCAACGATGAAGACGGTTCGTAAACATGGAGTATCCATTTTATAATAGTTATTTCTTGTTTGTTACTTATTTATTTCATGAGCGAATACATATATACTTATTCATATATACCTATAACTCTTTTCTAAATGCTAATACCTCTTAGCTGTAACAAAATTATAGCTAAACTATAACCCTCATTGTCAAAAAAATTTGTATGCAGCACTTAGTTCACCCAAAAAAAAAATCGATGTGAAAGCGGCTTAAACAGAGTATGTACCAATTTTTCAAAAGAAACGTGATTTACCTTTCTCTTCAATGATCGGCATGCCAGGGATTGCTGTAAGAACCATCTAGTAGTACGTTAATGATCAGTTGATACTACCAACAAAATCCTGGAGTGCAAACCTCTTGCGAGTAACGCCAGCTTGTGCCGAGTGCTGCAAACAAGGATGCCTTTGTTTTATTTTAATTTACTCCTTTCATGCTTGAGCGCAAGTGACTTTTTTTCTTACCCAATCGCGCACTGCTTTGACCAATCGCTGGCCATTGATTAGTTAACAGAAAATATCCGGCAGATGTTAGCCCAGCAAACCTGGCTGAAAGAATTTCGAGATTTTAGGCAAACACCAACTTACCTGGTATGAAAGTTCAGGTTTTATAGCTAGGTGCCGCTTTGGATACTTAGACCTCATGCCTCGCTATGGAAAACTTGTTCTGCTAGATTGTATGTTTCCATGTCTCGGCTACTTGACGGTTCTTTCCCTGCATTGGTGGATAAATGTTTACTGCTCATGACTGACAAGTTTCATTGGCTTGGCAAAGTTATTGTTTTATCCCATCATATAAATCTGCAGGTTTTATACAAATTAATTGCTACACATGCCAGACGATTAAAGCTTGTGAATTATGCGCAGGGTGATGATGGTTTTCTCCCTTCATATTCTCGACTCAATATTCAATGAGATTTTCACTAATAAACGACATTTAACGCTGCTAACGTATGCTGTAAATTCACCTGTGTAAACTCGTCTGTGTACATCCGTGATTGTACACTCGTCTGTGTACGCTCGTCTGTGTACACTTGCCTATGTACAACCGTCTGAATCGTCTGTATACACTTGTCTGTGTACACTTGCCTGTATACACTCACCTGTGTACACTCGTCTGTGTACACTCGCCTGTATACACTCGTCTGTGTACACTCGTCTGTGTACACTCGTCTGTGTACACTCGTCTGTGTACACTCGTATATAAAGTCTATGTATGTGACCACGTGCAGGAGTGGCGCTGGTGGAGAAGATCCGGGACGCTGCGGGCCAGAAGGGCACAGGCAAGTGGACCGCAATATCCGCCCTGGACTACGGCACTCCGGTCACCCTCATCGCTGAGAGCGTCTTCGCCAGGTGCCTCTCCTCCATGAAGGTTTGTTGCCTGCATCCCTCCACATTCCCTTCATGAATTAATTCCCTTAGATTATTTTCAATAATTAATTCCATTAGATCCCCTTCATTAATTAATTCCCTTGGATTCCCTTCATTAATTAATTCCCTTGGATCCCCTTCATTAATTAATTCCCTTGGATTCCCTTCATTAATTAATTCCCTTGGATTCCCTTCATTAATTAATTCCCTTGGATCTCCTTCATTAATTAATTCCCTTAGATTCCTTAGCTTAGCTTAGTTGATATTCGAATTTTATAAACTATCTTCTTTATATTTCTTTTCAAATCAAGTATTGCTTAGTTGATATTATGATTTTATAAACTATTTTCTTTTCATTTGTGTTGAGATGCAAGTATTGTTTAGTTGTTATTCGCATTTTATAAAACATCTTGTTTATATTTGTGTTGAGATGCAAGTATTCTAGTTGATATTCGGATTTTATCAACCATTTTTTTTATATTTCTGTTCAAATTCACTTATTGTTTAATAGATATTATGATGTCATGTTAATATCACATGCGCAGGATGAACGCGTAGAAGCGAGCGTGTTGTTGTCGGGCCCCGCGTCGTCCTCCTACACGGGCGACAGGACCGCCTTCGTGGAGTGCCTGCGCCAGGCGCTGTACGCGAGCAAGATCGTCTCCTACGCGCAGGGCTTCATGCTCCTGAGGGAGGCCGCCACACAGTTCGGCTGGCAGCTCAACTATGGTGGCATAGCTCTCATGTGGCGAGGTGGCTGCATCATCAGGAGGTGAGGCTGTGGCATATCTCTCATGTGGCGTGGTGGCTGCATCATCAGGTGGTGAGGCTGTGGCATAGCCCTCATGTGGCGTGGTGGCTGCATCATCAGGAGGTGAGGTGCATTATAATATAAATTGTATTGTTAACTTCTAACTAGTTTTCAAGACAGCACAAATTTTTTATAGCACATATTTCACATGTTAAAGCATCTACTATGTAGTTCTTACCGATGTTAGGAATCAATGACCAAATTTGGCTTCATCTCATTTCTTCGACGTTCATTTGGTTGCTCTTATTTTGCCACTATATTATGTAAAAATTACCTTCAATTTGTTACCTCGCAATTTCTTGAACAAACGCTAAGCCAAATACCTTTATAATATTTTTTCCACCACCACCATCTTCTTTATGTTTTTTTACGACCAATGAGTGAATTAATCAAATTTATTATTAACTAAATGATAGTTTTTAATTTATAATAAAAATAATTCATTTCAATAAACCATGATTTATTTTGATGAATAATAAATAATTTTAACACGTTAAGCACGGCTATGTCGTATTCAGAGCGTAGTATTTATTATCGGTGTACGACTCACCGGTGAGCGTGCCGCATTTTATACGTGTTAATGAATATACTAATTTTTTCATGAATAATTCTGTTCCTAAGTAGAAATTTTTTTGGGCAGTCAATTCCTGGGCAAGATCAAGGAGGCGTTCACGAAGCAGCCTTCGCTGAGCAACCTGCTGCTGGACTCCTTCTTCGTGGACGCGGTGCGTGGCGCTCAGGAGGGCTGGCGGCAGGTGGTGGCCCAGAGCGTCCTGCTGGGGGTGCCCACTCCTGCCCTGTCCTCCGCCCTCGCCTTCTACGACGGTTACAGGACCGACAAACTTCCCGCCAACCTCATCCAGGTAAGTGCAAACTATGAAAGTTTTACCTGCAGGAGACAGCTGAAAGCGACCGTTTTGGTAAAAAAAATGCGTGAAAATTCGATAACATGAGTCACTCGGGTACGGGCAACTCGATAATTTTGGTTTCTATGCTGGGAAAATGCAACACTTTGGTCCTCCAGGCCTGTGAAATTCATCAAGTTCATGCCGTTTTTACTAGCAATATTTTCGACGCAATTTAGTTTTTTAAATGACGCTATTTTGACTCATGTTCGTCACGCTTCAAACCATCTACTTGTAACAAGTAATGAACGAAGAATACTACAGCATGGCTATACATATTTTTCAATACATTTCATATTCCAATTCGTGTTTTTAACACCCATTTTCGTATATACGAATTATTTATGAACATTAATACCGTACATAATTTATTACAATTTATATTCTGTCCCAGGCACAACGCGACTACTTCGGAGCTCACACCTACGAGCTGTTGGCTTCACCAGGCAAGTTCCACCACACCAACTGGACCGGCACGGGCGGCAACGTGGCCGCCTCTACCTACATGGCTTAGATCTTGTATTTTTTCAAATCTAGGGCTTCCCAAACGATTTAATTACTATTTATTTTTGTTCTGACCTGTGGGAGACTAAAACTTTTTATATGGTATAGACGGGATAATGGATACGGTTGTGTAGTGAAATTTCTTTTTTAAACACGTCTATGACTTTTTTTGGTTTAACCTTATTAAAATAATATAATACTCTTTGTATGATGGAGGCGAAATATAGAATTGTAATACGGGATTGAGAGGCTAATGATAAAACTTGGTATTTTTTTGTTTACGGATTTTCTATTTCAAGAAAAATGAAAAAATATGACTCGCTCTCTTCACAAACGTTCGCCAGTAATGCGTTGGTTTTGCTGCAATACTTGAAATGTGGTCAGAATTATGTTATATGACCACATCTATGAATTATGTTACTTCAAAGGAGTACATGTCATTCTATGATTCTAATACTCGTAATTATCTTATCAATCTATTCTAAAATTCACAATAGTTCTTTGCGATAAGAAGTGAGCACAGCTCTGGATAAAAAGTCATCAACTGTTGCGATGTTCTTGGTGATGACCAAATCGCTCTACCGGCTTCATGAATAGACGTTTAAAGTCATAAATATACGCTCGACGTCGTGAATATACGCTTGACGTCATAAATATACGCTTGACGTCATGAATATACGCTCGACGTCATAAATATACGCTCGACGTCATAAATATACGCTCGACGTCATAAATATACGCTCGACGTCATAAATATACGCTCGACGTATACGCTCGACGTCATAAATATACGCTCGACGTCATAAATATACGCTCGACGTCATAAATATACGCTCGACGTCATAAATATACGCTCGACGTCGTGAATATACGCTCTAATTTGTACCATGCATGTAAATCTACAATTCATGCACTTCATTGTATCGTTTTATCAATCAAGAATTTAGACAAGTATAGCTCTAGTAAGGTGCCTTCTGTACAAACTAAGTCAGTTAAATTTTTATATCCCATATTTTATGTCGCATTTTGAAGCGTTTGTCCCACAATTTAGGTGACTTACCACATTTTAATGTTGGATTGTTCGTGCTAGATAAATATTGTACAATGCGAAGGTTGTGTCGGGTACTTTAAAACTTACGTATGACGGTATTTACTAGTTAAATTAGTCAAAATAGTCTTTACTACATAATAATATACTTAAGCTGCCTTAGGTCTAGTTATACATGTTCAAAACACTTTCTTAAAATGTTATTTTTGGATTCTTCTATCTACTTTTATCGGTGAGCTTACCACGACATATTTTATTGTTGGAAAATACAAGTATTTTTATGCCGCGGATGTCAAATGTCAAATCGTACTGGTGTCATCCAATATTGTTTAGGGACCAAGAGCAATGTTTTCTCGACATTTGTATTGTTTTATCTTAAAAATCAGTGTCTCGAGTTCTAGTTCAACACCATCCTAATGACTAAACACTTTTTGTGATGTTCAAGAATTTTCAAACGAACTTCCGTTTAGATCATACATACTGAGTTTGCTTTCATTTTGGATGCCATCTCTTTGTCTCTTCAATTAATAAATATCCGTGCTGTAAGAAATATTTAGAATTGGCCAGGTATTAAGTGAACAAATCCTGAGTATTGGCTTTAAAGACATTCACTGTAACTTTGTTCATTCCTGTTAAAGTGATATAAATTTTATTGTAGAATTAGAGTCTATAGTTGCGTTTATTCATACATAGTTTTAAATACCTCTTCCAGAGGCATACATTTTATTATTGTATTCACTTGAGCTATTAATTACGTCTTCAGTATCATTTGCTTGGTTGAAAAAAAGGCTTTAGATTCATTCACTACTGAAGATTCTACCTTCTTATTACACATACTAAACAATTAGGTACCTATAGTTTTATAATCTGACTGTAACTTTGTGTTTTCCCTTAGATACGAGCCATTTTCCTGATAAATATCTAAATTTTTTATATCTTAACAATTTAACATTTTTCTCCACGTTTTCTTGTCGGATCTTGGATATGGGTTTTACAAGAACATTTGGGTTTTGATCCAAAATTTTATAAACGAGTAAACTCGTATATTTCTCCATTAACTTGTCTTCATTTCCTTGCATTTCCTAGATTTTTAAGAAATCTGACGAGTCTATAATTATTCCCTACAATATATCTGAGTTATGTCCCTGCTAAGACGCTAATTGTCTAAATATAACAACATAGGAAAGTTCATTAAGTTCCAATTTTCGTCAATTCCTTTTCAAACCAAATTATCAAATTTCGTTTTTGTGCTACAGTAGGAAAATAAATTCTGCTTTCGTAGCTTGAAATTTATATAAGAAGAAATAGTTCAGTACTGGGGTTCACCATCTTTTTAACTCTGGGAAGTGAATATAAAGTGCAACAATGCATTGAGCGCCATCAGAATCCCAGCCAAAAATTATCTTTCCTCTTGAAAATTCAAGGCCAATATCTCAAGAGGTTCATTTCTGCGTCTTTTTAGTCCCTGCACAACAAACCTACAAGTCTTGCAGCTAGGGATGAACAAGAGTGACGCCATGATGGCCTGTAACTCAACGGCGCGCTTCCTGCGCTGCATTTCGCAAGTCTTTGTGTCCGTGTTGATGTACGGCCGATATCATGCTAGGCATGTTGACGTAGGTGTTGCAGAGCGAAAGCCAGCAAGCTCATTAGTTTAACATCTCAGTATAATACTTGAGTAACCAGAAAAATTAGCTATACTAAAGCTCGAAGATGGATGCGTATAAACCTTTAGGAACAGTATCCCGTCGCGAGTCACATTTACCTATTTAGTTGTTTGACTTGCAGACTAGCTTAATAAGCCTAAATTGCAGTTCAATGGCTTAAATTGACTAATTGCAACGAAGTTTATTAAGCAAAGTATGAAAATCGTTTTAGGGGAAATTCAGTTATTCAACGCACTTTATATGTGCAACACACTTGCGCTTAAATATCTAGCAGAATTTCTGGCAGATCCTTGCAGTGTCGTCTAGCCTAAAAAAACGCACTTTTACTTCTCGTTCTCAGCCGCAGTCGTTCATCTTCATGAGTTGTGACGACGACTGGAGCTGTGACACGCAACGCGCCAGTCTTGTGTCGGATGCGCTTGTAGAACTAGTTCTGCACTAGAATATGCTTGTGGTTTGCACTACGGATGCTCTGCATTTATTTGATGCACTCCTAGATCCAGGTCTGCTCTAGAATATGTTAGGGGTTTGCACTTTAGAGAAATTTGGGCCAAGAATTTTTAATATATTAAAATTAGTCACGTCTCAGGAACTTTTATATGTTTTTAAATATAGAAGAATATATCATTAATTCCTTTAATTTCAATGGGCTTATCTTGCTAAATCGTATCGTTTTCCTCGACTGAAGCCTCAAATTTTTAATAATCGACAAACTCTTTTGGTGTATTAGATAGACCATCAGTTTTTCAAGCAAGCCGTGAAATTTTAGATGCAAGTACTTTTTAGAAGTTTTTTTAGGGACCACATTGTTCAAATTTAGCGCCATGATCCTTTATATCTGTTGATGAGAAGATGGAACACATTGAGTTATACTATGGCTGAGTTATCTACGTGGGGACCTCATTGAAGTATACAAGTATACTCATGGTTTATATGAGGTCCCCGTAGGATTACTAGAATTTGAAACAAGAACCAACACCAGGGGCAACGGCTATAAACTAAAAAAGTCGTTGCAACTCATCCACGCGACAACATTTCTTCTCGCTTCGAATCACCGACATGTGGAACAGCCTCCCCGATGACATCGATCAAGAACAGACTAGATAAAGCTATGGAAAAATATATGTTCAGACTTGAACTGTCTAGCACCATATCGAACCCGGCGGAAGTCTAGTAGCTATTTCAAACTATCGTCAGTCTTGAAAAGATCCGATCAAATTACACAATTTTAGATCTTCTATGAACAAGTCACGAAAAGTTCAAGAATCGGCGACAGGCCACATCAGGCCTACTCTTTAGCGCCGGCATCACTATGCTATGTGAAGTTATGTTATACGATTTGTTCCGTGCGATCATGTTCCGTGCTGCTGTTCTCTGGTTCGAACTGTTCGTTGTTATTGTGTTAGCGCTGCTGTTACAATGCGAACTGTTCATTGTTATTGTGCTAGCGTTGCAGTTCTATTGCGAACTGTTCATTGTTATTGTGCTAGCGTTGCTTTTCTAGTGTGAATCTGTCTCTTATACACATCTAGATGTGTATAAGAGATTCCCTTCAGTGCTCTTTATTGAAGCGCGGGTATTCCTTTCAGTGCTCTTTAGTGAAGCGCGGGTATTCCTTCAGTGCTCTTTATTGAAGCGCGAGTATTCCTTTCAGTGCTCTTTATTGAAGCGCGGGTATTCCCTTCAGTGCTCTCTATTGAAGCGCGGGAATTCCCTTCAGTGCCCTTTATTGAAGCGCGGGTATTCCTTTCAGTGCTCTTTATTGAAGTGCGGGCATTCCTTTCAGTGCTCTTTATTGAAGCACGGGTATTCCCTTCAACGCTCTTTAGTGAAGCGCGGGAATGCCCACCAGTGCTCTTTATTGAAGCGCGTTTATTCCTTTCAGTGCTCTTTATCAAAGTGCGGGTATTCCTTTCAGTGCTCTTTATTGAAACACGGGTATTCCCTTCAGCGCTCTTTATTGAAGCGCGGGTATTCCTTTCAGTGCTATTTATTGAAGTGCGGGTATTCCTCTCAGTGCTCTTTATTGAAGCGCGGGTATTCCCTTCAGTGCTCTTTATTGAAGCGCGGGAATTCCCTTCAGTGCTCTTATTGACTGTCTCTTATACACATCTAGATGTGTATAAGAGACAGCTTTAGTGAAGTGCGGGTATTCCTCTCAGTGCTCTTTATTGAAGCGCGGGTATTCCCTTCAGTGCTCTTTATTGAAGCGCGGGAATTCCCTTCAGTGCTCTTTATTGAAGCGCGGGTATTTCTTTCAGTGCTATTTAATGAAGTGCGGGTATTCCTCTCAGTGCTCTTTATTGAAGCGCGGGTATTCCCTTCAGCGCTCTTTATTGAAGCGCGGGAATTCCCTTCAGTGCTCTTTATTGAAGCGCGGGTATTCCTTTCAGTGCTCTTTATTGAAGCGCGGGTATTCCTTTCAGTGCTCTTTATTAAAGTGCGGGTATTCCTTTCAGTGCTCTTTATTGAAGCACGGGCATTCCCTTCAGCGCTACAGAGGATACAGAGGAATGAGCTGTGCTGTGCTGAGCTCTTTGCGTTCATCTCATATAATTAATCAATTAATCATTCTTTATTTAATTATTAAGTTGACGTCTGTAGTGTTTTGGAACACTTTTATCTTACTAATTACAGAGTTTCGATTTATAATAGAAAATCGATAATTTTTTCGTCGATAATTAGGTATTTTTCAATCTAGGACTTTGTAGATAAATACAAGCCTGTCAATCATATTCCCAAAAAATTTAACTTAGCGCGATATATAACCTAATAGTATTGTAATAATGATTCGCAAAAATTGTTGCTGTATTGTTATTGTTCAACAAATCTGTCGTACGTGTGACAGTTTCAATCTCGTTTTCCCAGCTTGTCTGCACAAACTTTCTTGATTCTGCACAATGAAATTATTACGAAATAAATCATTCAACCTCATCACACAATCCTTTTTCATCGGACAAAAAACGATAATAAAACGCTCCCCAGATTTGCGATGAATTCGTCAGCAAGAATTTACACAATGGAGACACAATGGACATTGTGTGGTTG